AAAAAAAAAAAAAGTTACCTCTGTGATTCTTTCCCCATTAACTATGACTACCTGTCATCATTCACAAGTTATACTATGCTAAACTAAGGCTTATATTAGATGTGAAGGGGATAAATAAGGATACAAAATGATACACACTGTATACAATTTTATAAAATACAAAGATTGTAACAGACCAAAATACCAATGGAGGTTATCATTTGGCTGGGAGATTATAGGTAATTTAAAAAGTTATATTAAGATGTGTTTTTCAGGCTTGGATGAGTTTTGTTACAGAATGAAGGTTTGTATTGCCCCAACCTATCCCTGTCCCTGTAAAAATGCCTATCTAAAACGTAGCCTCCAATGTGATGTTATTGGGAGGGGAGAGGACTTTAGAGGTGATCAGAGCATGAAGGCAGAGCTCTTGAGAAAGGGATTAGTACCCTCATATAAAGGGACCCCAGAGAGTTCCCACCTCTACATATATGTGCAGACACACAAACCATAACGCAAGCCATCACCAAACACCAAATCTGCCTTGCCGTTTGACTTCTAGTCTCCAAAACTGTGAGAAATACATTTCTGCTGTTCATAAGCCATCCTTTAAGATATTTTGGTACAGTAGTATGTGAACAGACCATGACATGCATGCATTTCTTGTGAATTCAGAAAATAAAATGTTTTAGGAATAGTAAAGTCATTAGAGAAAGTAAATTTACAGGTTTCCAAATAGGAGAGGAGACAAGCAAAAAATCCACACTCTAAAATAAAGACCAATCCAATGATAAAGAACTATAGCACATTTTTAAGGTGTTTGAAATTTCTGTCCTTTGAACATACTTACAGTTTCAATGACTATAGTAGCTGAAAAAGTCTTCTCATTGATGGATTCTAGAGTTGCTTCATTTCCTCTGTAGCCTCCATTTAAAACTAGAATTCTCTTTCCTACAATAAGGAAAGAACATGACACTTAAAGCCAGGAAAAGATCTACTTTTTTTATTCTACTTTGTTACAGAAAAATGTAATGAATGATCTGAAAGAACATTTAAGTTATTAATCATTTAAGAACTCTGTAATATTCTAAAGTATAATTTGAAGATACTTTTGATCATACAACATTATAAACTCCTCACTTTTTCCCACTTCTTTGCCAAAGAAATATGTTTTAATTATAGAGTGTTAGGAGCACAAGGTACTTAGAAGAAAATCTTAGTCAAAAACTAGTCAGGAAAAAAATCTGTTTCCTTTAACTTGTCTCTCAATAAAATTCTAAGATGATCTGGCAGTTTCATAAAAATGATGGGGCCCTGCCTGGTGGTGCAGAGGGTTAAAGTACAGCACTAAGAAGCTAAAGTCACTTTAACATGAGTTCGATCCCTGCCCCAGAGGTGACCCACATGGCACAGCAGACCTCTCCTGACCCGCCTGCTGCTCCCCTCAGCAGTATACTTCGTCAGTCTGCCTGTTCCGCTCCCACTCTGTCTCTGATGAATCCTCTCCCATCCCTACACCTCTGGCCTGTTCCTCAGTTCTGTATGCATAAATAAATCTTAAAAAAAAAAAAGTAAACATATGAATTAAGTCACTCTAATTCCCAATAACCATGATATTTCCATACAAAGACTTGTCAATGTCAAAGCAGTTTCATTTGTAACAGTCAAAAATTATAAATAACCCAAATGTCTGTGAACAGATGACTGGATAAACAGTATTATACCCATACAATGAAATATAACCCAGCAATTAAAAGGAATGAAATATAGAGACAACATGTATGACTCCAAACTAATTACACTTACTGCAGGAAGCCAGATAGAAAAAAGGAACACAACAGTATGTTTTTGTTCATGTAACATTCCAGAAAAATGGTAAATAATCTATAATAACAAAGGCAGATTGGTGGCACCCCAGAGGACATGGAGGCAAAAGCAGAAGGGTAGAAAGGAAAGATTGTAAAAGGAAATGAGAAAACTTATGAGGGGTGATGTTGGGATCAGATGGATGATTTCACATGAATAATGACTTGTCAAAACATCAAATTGTACACTTTATACAAATACCATTTATTGTCTGTCAATTGCAGCTTACTAAAGTTGAATAGAAAACCTCTTCTTCAATCCATAAAATGGGTATTATTACAGAGGGAAAGAATAACTAGAAATATGAGAGAATGACCTTGTCTTTGCGCCAGCAATGAAACCATTATGAGTTTGATCAGTGGCAAACATCCTAACCAAAGTAGCACTAACACTAGAATTGCACCTGAATGATAAAGACAATTTAGGATGAAAAAGCACAATAAAACTGACTTTGAGTTCACTATCTCACGTTGCTAACCAAGCACATTAAAATAACCTCAATTTGACTTTTACCCAAATATGTCTGTATTGCCTCAGGAAGAAAAAAGGACTGTACAAAGAGAAGGTGTACTCATGCCTCAAAATAATGTTCTCAGAGAACTAGTGAAAGACCACATGATCGGAAGTCAAATACACAGCCTTTATTAGGCAGTTATATATTTATAAGAAGGAAACGTGTATTTACTAGCTATCTATCAAGTAATGATAAAACATAATCTATAATTTTAACAATAGAATCACTCATTTTGACAACCTGCACATTAAATGGTATGCAAAAAGATTTACCTGGTGCTGGAATTACTGTTTCTAAATGAGTCTGGTCAAGTTTCAGCTTGTCTCCAGAGTCAATCATCTTTACAACAGCTGTATATTTGTCAATTACTTCCTGTCATATGAAATTAACACTTATATAATAGGAGAAATATATGAAGAAATATGTATAAGACAGAAATTTGTAAAGTGAAAACAAATGAAATTCCAATCAAAAGATAAGAACATTGTATATGATTTCTCAGTGTATAGTTCTTAAAGAATTTCATTAAAGTTGTCATGTATGAAGAACACCAGTGACCTTAGAATAAGACTTTAAGAAATAAAATAAGAGAAACAGTTTTTACTCAGTTTCTATTAGCAATTTATTTATACACAACTTGGGTGCTAGAATGAAACTACATTTGGGAAAAAAAAAAAGAGAGAACTTCAGAGATCAAATTTTTAATTTAAAGTCCTACAGCAGCTAAACGAAAGCCTCTTAGACAAAACATAAGATGTCCTCCTTTGAACATTAGGGGCATAATTATATTGCCCATAATTAACAAAAAGAAAGCATCTTTTGATTAGTAAGGCATGCACACTGAATTTAAGAGTTGCCAAGGGGGTTTTACACATACCATTTGCACCATAAAGAAAGCAACTAAGTATAAACTATGGGTAGAAATGAATTATTATTCCAACAATTATGAATTCATTATTTTTTTAATGGTGTTATCAAGAATAAGAGACATGATTACGCTGCTACTAGAACTTGGTCTTTAAGGAAAAACAAAATAACTTTATTCAGCCCCACGCAGTTCTTTTCACAAATTTCATTCATAACTTGATGTCTTTACCTTAACAATGCCTTTTTTCCTATGATATTTCTCTCCAAGTTTCTTGGTTATAATTTTCACAATGATTTCCTGGTAAAAACATAAAGATAGTAAATAAAAATTATTTCCCGTTTTTTAATCCTCCAACTTAAATCATGATCACCAAAAATAATGTAAAAGCTCTGCTAACTAAGAAATTTTAGAGTTCTAATACCCACCAGTGCCAATATATTTCCTTAGTAATCTTTTATTCCTTCTCTCTTTTTTTATTCAAGGTGGTTATGCAGAGGAAAAATCTCTATCTAGTGGCTATTTTCAGAGAGGGTTTTTTGAAATCTTGGACTTGTATCTGTATATCTCAACTATCTTTTAATTCATGCCTTCCAGAGATACCTTCTTACTTTTTCTCCATTCATGGAAGTGAAAAGTGCCAAGGATATTGTACTAATATCTGCTGCTGATAAAAACTCTAGAGACCAAAGCCTATTTTGTCTGTTTTGTTTTTCCTTTAAACCAATGGATCATAAGCAAGTACACACATTAAAATCACTTAAGCACATGTATTTTGAAAAAAGTCCCTCTAAAAATTTTTGAAATATTCTCTAATTAAGAACTACTGCTTCAGGCAAAATCCTTGATTACAGATAAGAAACTATTAAGTTAGCTACTCTAACAGGGAAAATAAATCAAAATAATTCATAAGTAGTTTCTTGCCTACACATCCTTTGTTTACTAATCTTGATTCAGTGACTCAAAGTCAGGGTGAGTGATGCCTCCCAGGAAGCAGTACTGCTTACCTGAGGAGAGTACAGCCTAGTGAATCAGACTGTCCCTAAATGACCCTTAAGAAATTACTATAAGGGGGGGCCTTCCTGGTGGAGCAAGGGGTTAAGCATAGCACTATGAAGCTATCCACAGCTACTGCAGCTGAAGCTCGATCCCAGGCCAGGGGGATGACCCACATGGCCAGCAGACCTCTCTTGTCTCCCCCCACTGCTCCCTCAGCAGTGTATTTCAGTCAATCTGCCTGTTCTGTTCCTCACTCTGTCTCTGGTGAGTCCTTTCAACCCCTGCACCTCTGGCCTATATCCCAGTTCTTGCATACAGAAATAAACTAAAAAAGAAAGAAAGAAAGAAAGAAATTAATGTTTTATGCCTCAGTTCTCACCTATAAATGGGAATAATAACAATAATCACCTTTTAGGGCTGATATAAGAATTAATGAAACTTAGTAATACAAAATGATTACTTTTTCTTTATTTTCTAAGAAGTATTTTCATTTTAGAAACTTATTTCATGATCCTTCATATGAACACCATAACAAAGTATTTCCCATAATGTAGAGACAAACTAAGACATGAAAGTAAAATTATTTCCAAGTAAATGAGAATGACTATGAAGATTGAAATTAGAACTTTAAGCTTCTTGATATTCTACCTTATTTTTTAAATCAGAAATTATCTAAATTACACATTACATTTTAAGAATAACTAAGGGACCAAGAATTTTTTGGGGGGGCCCTCCCTGGCGCAGCGGGTTTAAAAGCACAGCACTGAGAAGCTAAAGCCACTTCAGCATGAGCTCGATCCCCGCCCCAAAGGTGACCTGGCAGACCTTTCCTGACCCGCCCGCTGCTCCCCTCAGCACTGTACTTCAACTGTTCTGTTCCCCAATCTGTCTCTGGTGAATCCTCTCACAGCTCCTGCACCTCTGCACCCAGTTCTGTGTGCATAGATAAATAATCTTAAAAAAAAAATTTTTTTTTGAAAACTTCAAAATTTGTAAGCACCAACAGGGCATCAATAAATGATTTTAAAATTATTTAAGTATTAAAAAATTATTGTAAAACTGTCTTTTATAATAAGCAGTAACAAGCAGTCAAACACAAAACTTTCCTTGCATTTCTAAAATCAAAAACAAGGCACAATTAGCTGTAAGTTGAAGACAAATACCTCCATATTTAAAATTCTCCCTTATAATACCATTTACGAAAACACAATCTTTTGTCTTACAGCAAAAAGTGAAAATCATTCTAGGCTTAAATCCAGTGTCCATAAGGAAGTGGAATTAAACTTAAAGAATATTACTGACCTATAAACATGAAGTTGATAGGTGCAACTAGTAATTAATTAAAGGTCAAAAAGAAAGGAAGTCACTGAAGTCATAATTCTATTTCCTTTATATGTATTGAAGAATTTATTTATACTAGTACTATTTAAATCACTCACTTAAAAGTAGATTTAGAATTTAAGAAGGGCCAACTGGATACATACAGGCTGTAGCCAGTAGTCTGTTCGGGCAGTTCTTTTCTTTTCCTCTTCAATCTGCAGACACATAAGACATTCACAAAGCTACTTCTTTAAAAGCCTCAGTTTATTTCAAACACCATCTTATTTACCAAACATCATGACACACATGCTTTACAGGAGAATGCTCTCATCTGCAAACTCTGATAACTGCACATAAACATTTTTTGCAATTGGTTTCTTTTATTCAAAATGACCTCGGATTTCAAGAACTATGTGGTGGGTAAATTTAACTAGTCCAGAAACAATCTCTGCTTAGACAAATCTGCCAGCACTATTCTGCCTGCCCCTGCTTTACCCCTATGGGCAAAGAGCACAGCACAGCACAGTTAGGTGTACATGTACAGTATGATGGCAAAAAAAGTGCTTCCCTATTTGGTAGGTTAACAGAGCTTATGAATGGAGAGGAAGAAAATATACTCCTAAAAGATGTAAATAAAAGGGGGACCAAAAGAAAAAAGGGCAAGCTGGCCATTATGTGTAGGTAGCGTGCCTTTTTCTTTCTCATATACTTAAGGTTAACCCTAAAAACCAACTCTCAATGGGACCGGACACTCTAATTCTCTAATTGCAAGCTTCGTTTTAATTTCTCCAACATTCCATAAAAGCAAAGAATATTCTAAATTTAGCTTGTATTATATAAGGCAGGTAGGTCCAGCTTTTCATTTTCCTTTGAACTAAATTGAAAAATTCCCTGCCATAGCTTAGAAGACCTTGATGGTGTGACCTGCTTTTCACTAACCACAAATGCCACCCTCATGCACATGTTTAATCCCTTTGGTCCTCAGATGCTTGAATTAGGGATATTTCCTTTAGCACCTTTTCAAAAGCAATCGCTCCATGCCCCACGATCAGGCCTCCTTAGTACTCCGCATCTGGTAGTTACTTATTTTTATTGATTCACTAAAGTCTCCCTCCCTATGGAGGGACGGTTTTCTCCTTACTATACAGACCCAAGACTCTCGTACCCCAAAATAAGAGAAAATCACTACTTGTTGAATGATGGAAAAGCCACATCTTACAGTACACTTATCTTTATATTTCACTCTAAACTTTTTAGACTATTCTGCATTGTGTAAGGACTTGGGAATAGGGAACACAGAACAGTTCCTTCCCATTCCTTCACATGTGAAGAAAAGAGTAATTCAAGGAAATATTTTAGGGAAAAAAGTTGAGTTTCGTGTATCCCTTTTATTTGCTTGTCTTCCCTATTCTCCTCTTCTGCTTATTTCATAAATTCATTGATATGGTAAGGCTATATGTTAAAGGGAAGTAAAGAATATTTAGGAATAAAGAACCTTCTAGAGAACAGGTCAAGAGTTTCAGGTATATGGCCCCAGACCCAAATAAACATAGGTTTTCAATGACTGATCACATAAACTTAGTCATCAGGTTTAATCAAATAAAAAATAAGTCAGAGCTTTCTCTTGATGGCTAAGAGACAGTAAGTGAAAGTCAGAGGTGACAGGAGCCCCAGGTTGGGGTGGAGGGGCCACGGAGTCTCCCAGTTGTACAGAAGGGAAATCAAAGAGCCCTCTCACTTCTACCACTTCCTTTTAGCTACCACTGAAGTCCTTTTAACTGAGCCTTGCAGGACACACACAGCTAGCTGTATCGAGTTTTGAAGGAAGCATTTAAGGCAAGAAACTCAACCCATTGGGGAGCTCTAACTCTACTCAGATGAAATTGAGTTGAAGCTCTTTTTCCGAAATTACACACTTTTCTAACATTGTATTCACCAATCTTTAACCCATCATTGGTAAAACAGCTTAACTTTGTTAAAACTACACCATTCCTCTATCTGCTAGAGACAACAAGCAGCACGTAAACTGTACCTCCATGATTTCATCAAGTGCAGATTTCTTTTTCTTCTTTTCTTTTGATAGAGCTGAGCCCTGGGAAGATTCTTTTCGTTTCACTGATGCTGCAGCCCCTATTGTAGTCAATGCACTTGGACCCAAAGCACTGATGGAAAGAAGACCTGTGTTTGTTAACATAACTACACAGAGAGGAAAATTTTATAAGGTGCCAAAAGAACACAAAAGAAACTTGTTACAATAGATCAGCCTACACAGTCATGGCCTATCTGTTTTAAGATACTTGTTCACGTAGCTCACCTTGATTTGGAAGATGCTGCTGCTGAACTGCATGCACCTTTATTCAAATTGAATGTAACTGGAAAAAAAGGTTAGTCCATATAAATCCAGGGAATTTATAAAAACATTTATCAGATCAGACACCAATGTAATCATGCAGAAATTCATATGGGCATTTTGAACAAAGGAGAGCTGGCAAGCTCAATCCGGAGACCACAGATTCGGTGTAAGGAACAGGACAGACGTTTGTTTGCAAGGCTGTAAAAGGCCTTCAAGTGATGGAGCTGTGCAATGGCCTAGGCAGCTTCCCTCCACTGCACGGTCGCCTTGCTAGCAGGGCTCCAGTTTGGTTGAGGTGTCTGCCATCTCTCACATAGGGTGGAAGATGCCCTCTAAAAGTCTGTGTGTCCCTCAAAAGTCCCAAGTCAAAAACTCAAATTTCTCTGTGAAGCCCAAGATGATAAGAATAGGGCAGGGCGGGCGGGGGGGGGGGTACCCTGGGAGGTGACTAGAAAGGCTTTTTTGATCAAAAACCATCAAAATAATCCCAATCACTTTCCCCGGCACTATTTTTGAGGGGGCCACATCATACAATCTAGCCAATGACATTCAATGGGATGTCTGCTGGCAGAAGTGTCTTCTCTGGGGAATTCCTTGCTTACAGGCACTCAGGAAAAAAGATGTGTATCTACTGGATGATGCTGGGTCTGCATCTAATGCTGGAAGTGCTGGCAGTCACCCTGCATGCCGCTGCTTGGCAGCAGGACTTCTGGAACCTCCCTGCTTCTGGGACTCTTGCCAGTTTTTTGGTAGAAACAACAGAAAACTAACCATATTTCTTAAAAAGAGAAGTAAATCTACCTTTTTCTTCTTCATTTTCTCTGCTTAATTCTGTAAAAACAGGTACCTCCTTAAAAAACAAACAATAAAAAAATGAATTTGAAAATTTGGTTCTCAGTGTATTTACTGTCACTATTTAGCAGTCCTAAATGACGACTTGCTAATAACTATGTCACATGGCAGATCTCAGAAACAACTCTAAAATAAAATATGATAAAGATCCTGATTTAGAAATTATTTACCCTGCAAATAACTAGAATTAATTTTTAAAAGGAAGAGAGTAGGGCCTTCTCTGGTGGCGCAGCAGGTGAGGATGCAGCACTGCAAGCTAGCCACAGCCACTTCAGTGCAAGTTTGATCCCCAGTCCTGGAGGTGACCCACATGGCACAGCAGACCTTGCCTGTCTCACCCGCTGTTCTCCTCGTGCACTTTATTAGTCTGCCTATTCTGCTCCCCACACTGCCTCTGGTAAAGTCTCTCACCACCCCTGCACCTCTGGCCTGTACCCCAGTCCTGTATGCATTAATAAATAAATCCCCAAAAAATAAAAGGGGAGAGAGTCGCTCTCCTATACCCAACTACAGAAGTTGACCTACACTTCTATTTTTATCAAAACTTATACAGGAAACAACATAAAGCAATAAACTTTAGGAACCTAGCTAGAGGATTACTTTAAAAAGCAAACCTTTCTATATTGTGAGACTACAATTAAACTCAAATTAAAGAGCATATGAGATCCACCTTTGCCAACCATTAGCTTTGCCATCTTTGCCAATCTGTCTCTCTGTGCAAGTATTCTATCTTTAAAATAGGGATAATGTACATGGTTAGGGTTAAATACAATATGAAGTAAACATTAACAAAGTGCCACAATGTTTAATATATGTTAATGCTTTAAAAATATGCAATTTGCTTCACAAGACTTTTCTCTTTTGTGTCTCTGGATGACAATGTTGCTCACCTGCTCTTTCCCTTCTAGACCTCGTCTCACTTGTTCTTCAATAAATTTGGCTGTTTTTTCTTCATCATCAAGGTCCTGCTTCTTCTTTTTCTCTAATTCCAGTTGCCGGCGAATAGTTTCTGGATCCCTGTCTATGTACTGAATATACCAGCCTTTTGGCGTCTCATCCACTTTGCACAAGCCTTAAAACAAAGTTTCAGACACCATAAATTTGTAAATAATCAAAGTTAAAGGTAAATATAGGTGTATTCCATCTCTGCATTATTCACTCAATCATTCAAATATACTTATACTCATTCAAACACACAAACTCCTATAGTGTTTCATATTTATATCTAGCAAAATTTAGATATGGTAAGTGCATTGTTGTATCTTTTTAAACAAATATTTTTCTGAATTTTTTTCTTAAAGCCTTTACTTTGAGACATGATGGGGGAAAAAAGGGTATACATAGAAATGGTCTTCACTTTCACAGTTGAAAGTGAAGACCATCTAATCAGAAAACATCAATGCCTGTCAGCTAGTACTGACAGTGAAGTTGATATGACATGTTGAAAGCTTAAAGAAAAGGTAGCTAGTATTCCTTTCCTTTTCTCTTACCCTCTCCCTCAACAGAATCCATACCAACCTCCTCATAATACTTCTCAAGGACAACTCTGACCTCACAGCACTCAGAAAACTCAGAAAAACACACACCAGTGAACAAAGGGACACTCAGCACACGTTAGGTCAAACTCAGATCCGAGCAAGCCCAGCCTCAGCAAAAGCTGTGGTGCTGCTCAGCTCACTGTACTTTGACGAGGTCTCTACCAGGTACCCAGTGGCAGGCTGGTAAGCACTGCCAACTTTGAAACCCATAGGGCACCAATCCACTAACTGGACAGTACACATGGCCTTGACAGTAGCAAGGCAGCACTGACATTGTTGGGAACCACATCACCACAATACAACAGGCAGCGAGCCATGTGTTTACCATGGCAAGGGTCACATTTCACCATCTAGCTGGCTGGCTCACAGCACACAGGGGTCATCTCTGCCACAGAAAGCTATTCATGGCAGGTTTTCTGAGCAGAAATAACAGGGTGATGAATGCAAAGACAGGGTACCAGATTGGGCTGGAATTCTGCCACATTAACATCCACGATTCCATCAAATCTGAGGGAAGAAGTGACAGGATACAATCTGGCTAATAAGATGGCTAAAGTTAGTGTGGCTGGGCACTCAACATTGAGGTTCTTCTGACAGTGTCACAGAGGGCCACAGTGCCACCATGAAAGCATAATCCACATGCTCCAGAGTGGTGTGCATGATGAGGATAGAGTTATAGGGCTGAAGTACAGCTAAGGAAATTTGAGGAGTTGTGGCAGGAAGGGTTAATGGAAAACTCGGGCTTGGACTTCTTGCCACAAGAGACAGAGAGATCCTTCATCAGCAGGGAGATGAATCCAAAACCAGTTCTCCCACCCAAGCTGTGGAGAACAAGAAGCCCTGGAGATCTATGCACTGGTCAGCCATGTGTGAATTCAATCTAAGACAAGGTCAATGATTTCCTTGCCAATGATGCAGTGCCCTCAGGCATAGTTACTGGCAGCATCTTCCTTGCCTGTGATGCGCTCAGAGAGGAAAAGCTGATAGTCAGTGCAAGTATGAACTTCCCCAATGACAATGGGTTTCAGTTCTACAAACACTGCCCTGGGCACATGCTTGCCAGTGCTTGTCTCCTTGAAGAAGCTGCTGAAGGAGCATATCCTTCCCCAGTGGGAGCATCTGCCATCAGCCCCAGGCAGCAGAGCTCCCAGTAGGCACTGCCCATCTGGACACCAGCCTGGCCAACATGGACGGAGATTCACACATTTTCAGTCACTGAGAGTTCTAGCAGGTGCAGGCAAAAGGAACAATGGCTCTCCAGTTACAGTCTTGATAAACTAAAGGTTGGGGTAAGTAATGGGCTGAGGCAAGGAAAACACTAGAGCCACTTAATTAGCAGGCTCAGACCTTACGATTTTGAACTAGTTAGTTTGAGGCAACATATTTAAACAAGGGAAAACATGAAAGATGTATTGTCTTTCACAGAAATTATTCACCTGCATCTATGTTTGCAGCATCCAATGAATATATGATATTCTGCCAACTTAAATAAGTAGAAATTATTCCCCTAAGATGGAATAAAGCAACACAGTAAGGACACAAAATTTGTCTTTTCTTCTCCCAAATTTTCATCCTTTGAAGATGAGATATGAAATGGCAAATTAAAAAAAAAAAAATCAACTTAAGAAAGGTAACAGGGCCCTCCCTGGTGACGTACTGCAGGCAGCCACAGCCACTTCAGTGCAAGTTCGATCCCGGACCCTAGAGGTTATCCACATGGTACAGCAGACCTCTCCTATCTCGCCTGCTGCTCCCCTCAGCAGTGAACTTGGTCAGTCAGCCTGTTCTGCTCCCCACTCTGTCTCTGGTGAATCCTCTCACCACCTGTGTACTTCTGGCCTGTACTCCAGTCCTGTATGCATAAATAAATAAATCTTTTTTAAAAAAAAGAAAGCTAACAAATGTTTCTTAAATTGAAATGAATGGGGGGAAGGAGAGACATGGAAGAAGACTGCCAATTATCCTTTAAGTAAGAAGATGTTTCTTTGATAAATCTTTGTACTGTCCAAAGAATTGTTCCAGACATTCATATTTAACTATAAAACTAACCCTGGAGATCATACTCCTCTCCACCAATTTTAATTATCCTACTCATACTTACACAGAAAACATGACAATTCTAGTTTCCTGTACTACAGGTCAGAACAGTTACTGAATAATGGGTTCTTCTTACCTTCTCTTCCCAGCCACTTAGTAAAGTCGGTCAGAGTCTCCCACTGAGTCGCATTCATGTGGATGTGCTCTCGGTGGCTGATGTACTCATTATAAACAATGTTGTTGTGAACTCTTTTGGTGCCTAAGAACAAAACATGACATTGTCGAGTCTAAGGAGATTCTATTAGGAAGTTACTTACAGTACTTAAGATGCTTACCAAAACGTCTCCTGAGGAGTTCCAGAAAGTCATTTCGGAATTCCCTAATAAAGAAAGGAAGGAAGACATAAAGATGTTTTCTCTAAAGATATCACCTCATCTTCCTGAAATTTAAGCTATGGTACAGTTTGAATGCCCAAATGACATATGAAACATTTATGTGGTGATTATGAGACTTTACTAAAAATTGAATATGGAAAGATAAAGATTCTAAAACATCACAGCTATCAAGAATTAAAATTATAAGTCAATTTGAAGTTGAAATTTCTTTCTTGGGAAAGCACACAGCACTAAGGTTTTTATGAAGCCACTTAGTGCTACCAAACGTGGCCTAATACCCACATTCTAATGATAATCACACTGCTCTCACTTATCAGGGGACTGGTACTTCATATGTCGCTTTGAACTGAGTATTTACCACATTAGTGCTAAATATAACACAGGTGAATAAAGCATCAACCTTGACCTGTATTATAATTCTAGAATTAATTATAATAGAGTCAATCTGAAAAAGAGGTGCAACAAAATATAACAGAGTTGAAGGCGATACCCAGAGGTTATTTTAATATGGGTGGTGAAGTGAAAATAGGATTTTCAAATGTGAACATAAAAAGGTGGTCATTCCCAGCTGACACAGAGCCATGAAAGCATGTTTGAGCAATGATACTCTAATGTGGCTGATGTTGAGGGCAGATAAAAATTAAGTAGGATAATAAGGGAGCTGTAGCTGGAAAATACTACTATGCTAACTTCTGAAATACCTTGAATGTCATGTTAAAGAGGTCATGGTTTATTCAGGCAATCCAGAAAATTTAGGAATTAATTTCTGAAAATCTGTGATTTAGGAAGATAATTCTGGTAGATCTGAAAGAACAGTAATTTTCAAAGTGTGGTGCCCAGAGTAGTAGTGTTGGCATTAAGTGGGCACCTGAGAGAAATGGAATGTCTCCAGCCCACCCTTTATCTACTGAATCAGAAACTGGCTTTGGGGTTCACTATTCTATTTTCACATCCCTCAAGTGATTCTGATGTATAATCATTGAAATAATTTAGATGTGAGATGATAAGAATTATTAGTAAGTAATTATTAGTAATAATTTAGATGTGAGATGGTAAGAATTATTAGTAATCATTAGTAAGAATGGAAAAGTCTCCCTGGTAGAACAGGGAGTTAAATCAGCGCTGTGAAACTATCACAGATAAGGCAGCATGAGTTCCATCTCTGGCCAGGGAGCTAAATCAAATGGCAGCAAACCTTTCCTGACTTCCCTGCTGCTCGCTCCCCTTGACAGTGTGTTTCGTAGATCCGCTCGTTCTGCTCCCCCTGTCTCTGGTGAATCCTCTCACCCCCCCCAGTGCCTCTGGCCTGTACTCCAGTTCTTGTATCCATAAATAAATAAAATGAACCTTTGCAAAGGACCTGAGTTTAAAGGACACTGTACAGGACAATCAATGAGAAGTCCCAGGTGGAAAAGGCATGAGGGACTCTTCAGGAGAGGTGGAAGTCTACGAGACAGAGCAATGACCAAGAAATGGAGGGGAAATCACAGAGAGGGCTCTTGGTATTTCTGAAAGTGTGGCATATGCACTACGGTGCTATTCAAGATAGTTATAGGTGGCTCACATATAAGTAACTTTTGCCTTTTTCACTGTGCTGTCTGCTTTGATGGTACAAAAACAATGGAAGGTAAACAGGCTGGCATCTTAAGCAAATTGAGGCAAGGATGTCAAAGTGGACGGGTAGTTAATGTATTTGTTGCCATGGGCTCGCAATAAAAACCAATGCTACTTTCATCTAGAATGTGCTTAATGAAGCAGGATCAAGCTTTGAGTATGTGTATTACTATGTAATAAAATGAGAACTATGAATAAATTACTTCCTATTCTGTGCAATCATAAAATAGAAGAAAAGCACTTTTGTGATGGCTTGAGGTGTAAATTTAACTATCGTTTTATTCATGGGCATTTTTTACTTGAAAGACTAAACTATTGTTATTCCAACTGAGTATTCAAAACATTTTCTCAAAAATGGACAAAAAGAGTCTGTCAAGGAAAACAACATTTGTTGCCAATGAAAACTTAAGCATTCAATCAAAAATTTGAATTTTAATAGGCTAATAACTTGAACTTAACATACTTTCTGACACTTATGGTTAATTCTGATGACACTGATGTTGACATTAGTGAACATGATTTTTAATATTGTATGGCAAAATGAGTCACCAGTCAGAATACCTCCATTACTCAGTGAGTATTTCCCAGATCATCTCTGCATAATACTACAAAAAAATGCATGGGCACAAGATCCATTTAAAGTGAAAGACCATGGCATTGTAATAGAGTTCAAAAAGTTAACTGATACAGCTTCAGACTCCAGATTACAACTAGCCTTCAATAAACTTCCACACCATTTTGATGTACAATCAAAGAAGAATGCAAAGTCTGTAACACCTACTCCCCTGTGTCACATCCAGCTGTAATCTATGTGAAGGATAGATTTGCATTATGTGCTTCAACCAAAACTACATTTTGAAATAGAATGAAGAAGCAGTTGTGACAATCCAAGTGTCTTGTATGAAGTATGAAATTAAAGAGACTGCAAAACTGTAAACCAATGTCACTTTTTAATTTCAGTTTGTTTTGGAAAATCCAATTCCTTAAAATTTATTTTAAAAAACAAGGAAGCAGCTCAAATGCCCAAAAGTAGATGACTGGACAAAAAAGATGTGGTACATATATACAATGGAATATTACTCAGCAACCAAAAAAGAGAAACACATGTCTTTGCAGCAACTTGGATGGAGCTGGAAAAGATCATGCTTAGTGAGATAAGCCAGAAAGAGAAAGAAAAATACCAGATGGTTTCACTCATAGCAGGAGTATAATGGACCAGGAGAGAACAACCATATACTAGAGACATGTTGTGGGGGTGGAGTGGGGAATGGGATCAAAAACGGTGGGGGGGGGGAGAGAATACACGGGACTAAGGTAGCCACGGGTGATTTGGGTGATGGGAAACCCGCAGGGATTACAATCGAGATGGAAAAAAAATTTGCAAAATGATGTAAAAATAAACTTTTGTAATCATTAAAAAAAAATTTATTTTAATATGCAGAAAGTTAATATGCATTGAAAATAAGTGCTTAGCAATTTTCCATTTTAATCCCTAATTTACACATATCATAGATCTAACTCCAGATAAACAGAGTTCTTTGGGCCTTTTATATAGTGTCAAAGGAACCTAAGATCAAAAGGCCTAGAAATCTGGAAACTCTAGAAAGAAAAAGATGGACAGAAACAAGACTAAATAGTAACAACTAATGTTAATTGAATAGTTAGGACTTTTATAAACATTTCTAGTATTAACACCTTTAATTTTCTTATAAGTCCTATGAAAGAAAAACAATACTTAGAAGAGAGTTCTATTATTATTCCCATTTTACCAATAAAACAGACTTAAAGCACAGAAAAACTTTAGTTCACCCAAAGTCATACAGCTGATGAGAGAAGCTCAGATTTGTACAGCTGAAAATCAGGTAGCCTAACTTCCTGCTCTTAGTTGCAATTGTTTAGAATGATACAGTTTCATATGTTTCAAGTGAAAGACTGAACTGTGAGTTCACAATTTTTTACTCTGAAAAACTGTCAAAGGAAGATAAAATCTGAACACAAAGGTAACACAGCTATCATGCGTGTAAATATCTAAGGAACAAGAGCCTCCAATATAAAAAATAAAGCATACATTACACATAAAGCTTATTAGATATGTCTAAAGTTACTTACTGTGAAAAATAATCCATAAACTGCTGAGGATTTTCTGAAGCCAGCAATAGCTGTCTCTGATGAGATTCGGACATGCAATGACACTTAAAGCCATTCTACAGAAAATGTAGATAGGAGTTAAATTCTGTTTTAGACCATCATAATAGGCCACAAGTATAGGATTTAATTAAACCCTAACAAACTGCTTTCTGATAAACTTTTAAAAAGTAATCAAATCAGGGCCTCCCTGGTGGTGCAAGGGGTTAAGTCACAGCACCACCAAGCTATCAGTGGCCACTGCAGCACAAGTACTGTCTCAGGCCAGGGAGCTAGCCATGTCAGACCTCTCCTGTCTTACCCGCTGCTCCCCTAAGCAGTGTATTTTCAATCTGCTGTTCTGTTCCCTGTTCTGTCACTGGTGAATCTTCTCACCAACCCCCCCCATCTCCACCCTTGCACATCTTGCCTGTATCCTAATCTGTATCCTAATTCTTGTGTACGTAAGTAAATAAATCTTAAAAAAAACTAGTTGTAAACAATCATTACATAAAATGTTTTACAAGGTTCAGTTTCACAACTCTGCTAATCAAAGATCTGCCCCAGAAGGTGACAGACAAAAAATCAGTGTCTTAGAAAACAGACATTAATAAAAAAAAAACAGTACTAGATACAGTAAAAGAACAACAAATTCATTTTTTTAAATTCAATTTAACTAATTATCTATTGAGCACCTACTTCATACAGAGTTGTTAGGCAAGTGCTTCAAGGAATATAATGAAGAAAAAAATGTTAGTAAATTTTATTAAGGAAACTATTTTCATTCACTTTCTTCTATGTTAGCTATTATCCAAAACACACTGTTAGGTATGTTTTGACTTTATTCTACTAGTTTGCTTTCAAAAGCATGTGGGGGAGCAGGATATATGGAGTGCATAACTGATGGTATAAAGGAATTTTTGCTATGTGATGACAATGACTAGGTTATGTTAAAAAAAATCTGATATTGGGCCCTCCCTGGTGGCGCAGGGGGTTAAAGCACTGCACTGAGAAGCTCAAGTCACTTCCGCATGAGTTCGATTCCCGCCTGCCCCGGAGGTGACCACATGGCGAGGCAGACCTCTCCTGACCCGCCCGCTGCTCCCCTCAGCAGTGTACTTTGATCATCTGCCTGTTCTGCTCCCCACTCTGTCCCTGGTGAATCCTATCACCCTCCACATCTCTGGCCTGTACCCCAGTTCTGTATGAATAAATAAATAAATCTTACGAAAAAAAAAAATCTGATATTTTAGAAATGCAACTTAAGTATTAAGAGGTCAAATATGTTCCTTTTTTTACATTTTGTCTTTTACTTTTTATTGATTTATATACAAAACTACATAATTTGGGGAGCACAACTTCAACCCTCCATATGTAACCACCTCACTTAAGCTCCTGTACCACAATCCTGTCACCTTCTCTTCCCTTATCCCTGCTTCTCTTCCCCAACACTCCCTCCAGTAATCAGTTTAGTTTTCATAGAATCTAAAAATTATTCCTGTTTTGCTGGTCTGTTCTAGTTAGTGATTTATGTTCCACAAAGGAGTGAGACCATTTATAACTTTCTTTCATTTTCTAACTCATTTCATTTAGTATAGTCATAGAGGTAAAATATCTTGATATTTACAATTTCCCTTAAAATACTTCAGAAAAGTAAATATGAAAAAATAATAAAAATGTTAAACGTGGGCTATACAAATGTTCACTGTACTAGTCCCTAGTACTTGTGTTTCTGCACGTGTGTGGATTTCACCTTGACTTAAAGAGAAATGGAGAATAGTAGTATCAATGTTATTCAAAGTGAATGTCACCTAAATTAGTTCATTCCTCACTTGAAGAATCACTGGATTGGGTTGCTCCAATTTTCCAGTGTTCTTCCATCCCTCTACCCAAATCAATCTCCAAGAAAAAAATAAGATCAGGTCAGTAGCCTGCTTTAAATTAGTCAAAGGAATTTCAGAGGCTTCATCATCTACCACATTAATGAGAAAGAGTATGAACTCCACAGTTGCAGGACAAACAGAATTTTCAAGACCTAATCAGTCACTGTGCACACATCTATTTAAAACTCACAACACTCTGAGCAGTAGGTATAATTATTATTCACACTTTAAAGTGCCAGAAAGTGAGGAAGTTGTCCAAGATCAGCTAGAAGGTGGCACCGCGAGGCTTAATAATTCTGACCGCCTGACTCCCAAGTCTATATCTTAACCATAGTAAAACCCTGTGTCTGGCACACTGTAGTTGTTCAACGAATGCTTGTTAGAGGTGTGGTGTGTGAGAACTCAGTGCGTTTTCATCTGATACTGAACACAGGTGTGAATCCAAATCATCTCAAAGTCACAGATTGTTATCGCCCAAACGTCCTGTATTTAACGAGCTCCTATTTGCTAGCGACAGCAGCAAAATCTGTTATTTAATGGCGGGGGCTGCGGGGAAGATAAAAAGAAATGGGGTGTCAAAGGCCTCCTGCACGGAGGCTGAAGGGAAGAATACTTCTACTGAGTAAAATAAAGGTTACTCCCAGCGCACACCCCGACTAAGGGGCTGAGACTCAAGCCCTCACACACCAGCATTAGGGATTTGAGCCCGGATTTCCAGGCTTTCCACTCCTGGGTAGAGGGCGGAGCGTAAGCTTGGGGGCATCCCAGGGCCACTTACTTCGTCCCGGCACTGCTTCTGGCACATCTGGCAATACCAGCGCAACTTCTGAAGCCCTTTGGATTTGATCCTGTTGGCGATGGCCTTCGGGGTCAAAAAATCTGACTTCCCCATCGCAACCGGACCCACGACAACTTTCAGAACCACAACACCTACCAACCGGAAGCGGAACGGCGCTAGAGAGGGTGGGCGGGACAAAAAAAAAACACTGCTACGAGCCGGAAGGAGGTGGGGCCTGGAAAGACAGGGGCCCGAACGCTCGCGAGTTTCCGACTATCGGCGAGAGTACGCGAGATTGGAAGAAAAAGCGGGGCGGGAGGAGGCGTGGGGAAGCTTCCGCGCATGCGCAATAGGATCTGTCTGACCGACCTTCAGCGGGCCCACTACCACCATGTTCTCCCGGGCGGGCGTCGCTGGCCTCTCGGCCTGGGCCTTGCAGCCGCAATGGTACGGTATAGTTGCGATGGGAAGGGAGGGGTTGCGAAAAATTAAAGATCGCGGGCGGAGTGGGGGGAGGAGAAGCGGTACAGACGTAGGACGGTGCAGGGTTCGCAGGACCAGTTGGGCCCCCTTTCCCCCGAGGCCCAGGGAGAGCAGGAGCTGCAGGAATGCCTCGAGACCCGCAAGGGCCCGCGGCGGGGCTGCAGAAAGCAAGGTCACGCCACGTCTCCTGAGGATGGATGGGGCGCGGTGAGGGCCATGGGGAGTGGTCATCCTGGACCTGAGACCTTAGTCCTACTTAATCTTAGGGCGGTCTTGGCTGCATTACTGCTTCGTGGCAGAAACAAGTACGTTGGCGTCTTTATGCAGCCCACGGAGCGTGGGGAGCGGAAGACCCGAGGAAAGGTCTGGGAATGGTTAAGTTGTGATTTATGCCCTTGACGCCATTTGAAACCCTTCAGTGCAGAGCCCGAGTAGCCCTTGAAAAGCAGTTCGAATTAGCCTGAAATCTAACAGTGCTATGCGGAAATAAAGTGAGAGTCCTCGTGGGCTAATAGTAGTTTGAGTGCAAAAAGGACCTTCTGTCTCTTGGCGAGGACAGAAAAGACGCCTAGCGCTGTCCTGAAACCATTAGGCTGAAGCAGTAACCCTGCAAGGTCATAAAGTTGTCACAAGGTCCTGAGGAGGAGGAGGAGGAGGAGGAGGAGAGAGGTGGACTTTAAAGTGTTACCTGTGAACTACCGTGAACTTTTTAAGGATTTTTAAAATTGGTTTCCGAGGGAAATTTATGTATTACTATAAGGCCTACTAACGGACAGATAAAAGTTGGTATCAAAAATAAAGTTGGTATCCTATAATAGAATGAAATGTCCTGAAGCTAAGCAAATTCTGGGGGAATTTCAGACATCGCTTAGGGGATTATTAAATTCTGTGTAGCAGTTACCCGGTTTTACAGTAAAAGGGAGGTTATAAAAATCTACAACATTAAGCTTAATTTTGTATCCTGATTCATAGACGAGTAATGAGGAAAATAATTATGATGTGAAATATCTGCCAAAAAATGTTGGTGAATTTGCCTTGGAAGTCAGAGTTTTCTGATACTGAAAAGAAGTTTTCATGGAAATTCATAATTGAATTCTCCCTCATTAATCACTCACCTGACACATTTGTTCTCTGCCAGTCCTGCACCAGGTTGGTGCTGTGGAAAGTACTAAAATGTGATGGTAAATAAATAGGAACTTAGTGGAACAGTCTGGCTTGTAGTGGTGCTCAGCATATCCATCTTGCTGTACATTTATATTTTCTGTTGGTACTTTAAGAACCTTAAGTAGTGTCCAAGTTGCTCGTTTTTTTTTAAATGGAAATTTCGGGCATTCCCTGGTGGTGCAATGGGTGGAGACACAGCACTGCAGGCTGACCAAGGCCACTATAGTGCAAGTTC